AAATAATAACATTGTAATGGCATAACATTTTCTCTGGTCATAATGTTCCTATAGGAACCAACTCTAGAATAGAATAGAATAGAATAGAATAGAATAGAATAGAACAGAACAGAACAGAATAGAATAGAACTGGAAGGGACCTTGGAGGTCTTCTAATCCAGCCCCATGCTCAAACAGGAGAACTTATACTATCTCAGACAGTGACAGTGAATGTTTAGTCTCTTTTTAAAAATCTCCACTGAGGGAGTGCCCATGATTTCTGGGGGTAAGCTGTTCTACTGGTTGATTGTTCTCACTGTCAGGAAGTTTCTCCTTAATTCCAGGTTGCTTCTCTCTTTGGTCAGTTTCCACCCATTGTTTCTCGTCCTTCCCTCTGATGCTTTGGTGAACAACCTGGCCCCCTCTGCCTCGTGGCAGCCCCTCAGATATTGGAACACTGCTATCATGTCTCCCTTATTTCTTCTTTTCTTTAGATTAGCCAAACCTGTAGCCATTCTTCATTATGTTTTAATCTCCAGGCCTTTGATCATCTTAGTTGTTCTCTCTCTCTCTCTCTCTCTCTTCATACCTAGCTACATAACTCTAGTGTCTGTATAGTGTTGAGAGTTTGTTTGGTGCAGTAGATGCAGTATTGGACTAGGACTGAGAGACCCTGGTTCAAATCCAATCTGAGCCTTGGAAATTCATTTGGCAACCATCACCATCTCTCGGACCAAATGAGCCCATATTACGGATGTTGTAGGTACTGAAAGAGAACTACATTGATTGCCTGACTTCTTGGAGGAAAGGCACAATTCTCTTCTATGGAAAGACATGATGGAAATTAACAAATAATGTAAATACATTTTCCAATTATGAGTGAAATGGAGGTGGAATGCTTCCAGATGTTACTATTGGCATGTGCCATGCTGCTTTAGAATTGGGAATTCTCTAGGAATTGTTTGTTCAGAAGTTTTGTTAGTCAAAAAGGCTACACTTTTCCTTTTATTATTTTTTACAAATAACTCAAGGTAGTGAGCATACCTGGAGAGAGTGACTGACCCAAAGTCACACATTCAGCTTTCATGCCTAAGGCGGGACTAGAATTCACAGTCTCCTGGTGATTGCCCCAAAGTCACCCATCCAGTTTTCATGCTTAAGGAAGGACTAGAACTCACAGTCTCTGTTTTTTAGACTCTCAGAAGCTAGTGGAGGTTTTAAATGGCGTTTATAGGCTAAGATATTTGCCCACTTCTTTATTTTGTTGCGTCTCCTGTATGGGTGGAATGTGTGTTTCTATATAAATACCATTATGAACTATCTCCATAATTAAAGTCAACACAGTTATGTTTCAATAAGTAACATAATACACTTCCAAACTGCTTTTAATGTTGTGTGATGTCCTGCTTATCTATTTGAAACATTTTTCCTGTGTATCCCACAGGAAAAACAGATGTAATTAGAACAATACATTCTTACTACGTTTCCAAAAATAACTGAAGCTGCAGCCGGATATGTACAAGAGAAAGACGGAATATAAAATTAAGGGGTGCTTCTTGCCAATCAAATCCAGATCATATTTTTAATCGAATGACATTGATTAAACACTTTTTGCAACAAACAAAATACTGATTTTAAAAGATTTGAAGCAAGACGTGCCCCACACAAACTCATTTAGGTTGATGAAGTAGATAACAGTGAAATTTGTTTTAGTATAATTTTTTCCAAAAGAGAATTATTGCATAAAATATAGCAACATATACCTCACCCTAGGTGATGATGCAAAAGGGAGATGTAGAATTTTATCAGGCCCCTGCCAGGAGGCGGGAAGAAAAGGAAAAAATCCGCTTAACTCTTTAAATCAAGCCAAACTGAGGCAAATCAAATATTGCATTCTAAGAAATGTCTATTGAGATTCTCAATCATCCAGGTCATGGTTATCCCAAAAGTGCTTTTTCCAAAAAGCAACTGGACTTTTAACAAGAAAGCCCAGTTGCCTTTTGGGAAAAGCACCTTTGGGACATTCTAAAAAATGGAAACATTACAGGCAGTCGCCACTACAGGCATTCAAAGTTATGATGCCCACAGAAGAGGCGCTTTATATCCTTTAGAACAGTGGTTCTCAACCTATGGGTCAGGACCCCATTTGGGGTCGAACGACCATTTCACGGGGGTCGCCAAACAACGCAGTCTGCCATTTTTTCCCCCTTTTCCTTAGCTGTGCTACTCCCTTTTATTCTATTGGCTTTTGAAAGCCAATAGAATAGACTCTCTTGAATAGAGTCTAATTCTATTGGCTTTCAAAAGCCAATAGGAATTGTCCAGGCTGTCTCTGCCCTGCTGAGCCCGCCAAAAGTCCCATTCTGCAAACAATGCTGCAAATTGTCTGCAGCAAAGGCGAGCTGTCTGGAAGTTTCCACCTCTCCCTGCTGAGCAACTACTAAAAATGTAAGTAAAAGAGGGCCAGGGGTGAGACGTGGGAGGCCGGCGGGCGCAGGGAGGGTTACTGGCACGCATGGGGCCTGGCGGGTGTCTTACCTCCCTTGGGCTGGGCCAGCTGGTGGCTCAGCCGGTGGTTGGCCTGCGCCGTCTCTGCCACTTGCCAGCCACGCCTTGGCCGGCGCAGGGGGCGGAACCACACTTGCGCAGCGCTCCTGGGCAGGGAAAGTCCTCGACTTACAACCGGTTGGGTAGCCCTCGACTTACGACCGGTTGGGGTCATGGCATTACAAAGATTGAGAACCACTGCTTTAGAGCACCCTGGCTCTCGTAAACAGTCATGCTTCCCCCCTTGCAATCATATGATCCCATGTCAAGTGGGTCAGCTTAATTCTGGGCTCAGTTATGGTGATAAGTTGAGGACAGATTGTATTGACACTACCTCCCAGCTAATGTCAGCTCCCTCTATCTCCATCCATGTCAGGCATGTTTACATGTTTACAGATTGAAAAGGGCTTTACTTTCATACTACACCGAATATCTACTCTATAATCTATTCCACCTTCCTCCCACCAACATTGGTACCCCATAAGAATTGCAAACACCTCTTCTAAGAGCTAAGAAGATGACATCTTCCCTGGAATATTATTCTAAGACCCTTAGGACTGGAACAAAAATAAAAGTATAGAAATAATCAGGCAGCAAAAGATCCACTTATTCCTTAAAACCTTCCATATACATTTCTATATTTGAAGAGTCTTTTTTTTAATACATGTACTTTTTCCAAATCAGTTTTTTCAAAACTATAAAAGATAAAGTTCAGTAAAATGGCACTAACAGTAACACCCCCAAAAGTTTAAACTTAAAAAGCCTACACATAAAGTCAGAATAAAATATCACATGTGTCAACGCTGCTAATATTGAATATTCCTGCTTTGACAAAATATGCAGAACTGTCTGGTATTTTTAGAGTTAATTCAGATGACAAAGGGAGGGGAAATAACAAAACCCCAGGAAAAGGAACGGAAGTGAATCTCTGCCCTCTGGGCTAATTGGAAGATGTGACTTGTGACTGCAAGATAAGGGAGGGGTTTAGCAAGAAAAGTAGGTGCCAGCAAGAGGAATTCAGATTCTGGCATAAACCTCCATGATGTGCCATCAATTTGTAACACTGGTAATAAAGGCTTTAGGACGGGGTTCTCAACCTTGGCAACTTTAAGACTTGTGGACTTCAACTTTGCTGGCTGAGAATTCTGGGAGTTGAAGTTCACAAGTCTTAAAGTTGCCAAGGTTGAGAACCCCTGCTTTAGAATAAACATGCCTGGAAGTTTTTTGAAGTGTTTCATTAGTCGGAACCATGACAACATGGTTATATGATCAGCATAGAGGTAGAGAGATTACTGTCCTATATTTTGGAAGATAAAAAGTATATTTGCCAAAGATACACATACTATTTCCTGTGCAAATTAATGAAAGGTTGCCATTCATCCCTAGATAAAAACAAGCTGTGTACCTGAACAATAGTAATCATGAGACAACAATCAAAGGGATCATTGAAGAAATCAACCCAGATTTCTCATTTGAGGCACAAATGACCGGGCTTAAATTATCTTACTTGGAAGACCTCGTTCTCTGGAAAAAGATCTAATGCTGGGAAAGGTGGAAGGAAAGAGAAAAGGAGGATAACCAGCAGAAAAGATGGATAGATTCATTTACAGTGCTGACGGATGTACCGCTGGAAAACCTGAAGGATCAATCTGTCCCTAATTGTCATGGAGAAAAATCTACCTATGTGGTTGCTAAGAGCTGACACTATCGAATGCATATAATCAGTTGTATGGCCCAGCCTCCACAAGACACTAAAAAGACAAGATTCGTGGCACTCTGGAGTGGAATGGGACAACTTTCTGTGGCCAATTCTCCACCGCCAACTCGCCACAGCCAGCTCGCTGCAGGAAAACTTGCCACAGCCAACTCGCCACAGGACAACTCACCATGGCCAATTTGCCACAGGACAATTCGCCACGGGATAATTTGCCATCATTAAAAAAGGGAAGAAAAATAAGGAATAGAAAGCAATCATGAGGTATTTCATTTGGATGATAAGCAAGGAAAGTTTTAAAACCACAAATTATGATGACATCAGGCTTAAATGACTCCATGCAAGGAACTTGGGAGAGATTTATTCAGATCAAGAATAACGTACCAGGAATAACACCAGGTATGCCTTAATGAACTGAGATATACCATCAGCACTATGTTAACGACTAGTTTAATAACTGCCTGCACAGTAATCCTTGATTTTATAACTACTCAGAAGTAAATCCCATTAATAGGACTTGCTCTCAGCAAAATTATAAGCCTTAGTTGCTCTCCTATAATCCTATGCAGAGACTTTATATATTCAGAACTTAAATTCCACGGAGTTTTGTGAGACTTCTTTCCAAGAATATTCATTAAGTCTGGTATGAGTTTGTAGTCTATGAATTCATTATTTTTGCTTTTTTTCCTTCCTTAAAAAATAGGTGTAAAAGTACCAGCAACTTAACTTGTGCATCTATTTTTTCCATTTGTTTACTTACCATTAATAGTTTTTCTGATTTCAGTATAAACTGTCTCATTATTCATTACAGGAGCTGGAAAATAAAATCAGTACAGAATCAGTTACTATTTCTAAATGGGTTAAAATAAGCTATAAATAAAGGTGGCTGGGAAGCTGACCAAGGTAGCTGAGACAGGCCATAATTTCTCTATCTTGTTTGGTCCCTAACCAGTGGGTAAGGAACTGACCCATGGTTCAGTCTGCAGAGGTTATTTCTGCATCAGTGACTTCTTTGGCTTCTAGCATCTTCATAGCATCACTCAGCTTTGTTGAAGTAATATACAGCCTATTCTCGTTGCTGTTATTTTTGCGGAAGAGTGATTGTATGCTCCAGAAAATGCTATAAACCACTTGTGTGGAAATGATATGTCGGTTATTTCTTGCAAATGTGGACAGAATTTATTTCCATACCTTCCTATTTTTTTTTCCCTCTCCTCTGGAAAGATTATTATGAATGTGTCTAGTAAACAACATCCTTAATTCAGGGAATTAATTCTCTGGCAAATTATTCTTTTGATCAAAATACAATGTAAGTGACCCAGATGGCGTCTTCTGTATCTTCTTCCCTTTTACAAATCTTTCATAAAATGATAGGCTAATGATTTTATCCAGGAAAGCATATCCATCACTCATTTATCATTTATTTTTTATGAGAGGATCCTACGCTTTCAATAACACCACATACAAAGATGCATTTTTAATAACAACCAAGATGCCATTATTAAGTGTCTGCACCAAACTGATTGCATCTAGAAGAGAAAAAAAACATTGGAATCTTACGCAAACTTGGAAGTGAGACATTCAGTCTTGTTTTGTAGAAAAAAGGAAATGTGCTGGCATGACAGCTTGAAAGTTTTTTTAACCTTTTAAGGATTTCTATTTAAAATATCAAATGAGATCATCCCTGCTTATGAGGCCCTAAAAGCTCTGTTAGGATGTGGCCTGATTTCTAAGTTCCTACATACAAGCACTCACAAAACTAACACTGACTAATCACAGTCTTGTCTAGGTTATTCATATCTAAGACTCTGGATTCAAGGCATTGTCAGATGCGTCTTCAAATCTGCTGGGAGAAATGCCAAGACATTTGGTTGATTGATTGGAGTGGAGCATTTTTGCTGTTTCCAGACTGGCCAAATAGATTGGTCCTTAGCACTCTTTCGCTACTCCCCCTTCTCCTAGGCCATGGAGGCGTGTTCCCTCTCGCACCATTCCCTCCGTTGACTGAACGATTGGCAGGATGGAAATATTCCAATAAGGGCTTTAGGAGAACAGGAGAAATTGGCCGTGAAGGATAGTTTTGCATGAACAGAGGATATGTATTGCTCTCTAAGCTAGCCAATAGGGAAAAATAATTCCATATGCAGACATCACATCATAGATGAGCAGAACTCAGCCCTGGAAGATAAATATAGTCAAGTGATCCACGGAGCTACTAGGCAGCCTTATGGCTTATATGATGGCTGGAATGCAGGACCTCTAAGGGGCAGCAGCTTGGGGAGACATATTCAAGCCTCAGTTGCCCACATCTTCTGATGAGGTATCTTTTATAGAGCTAGTTTTCTGAAGAAAACCTAATATGGATTTGTTTGCATTAAGAGAAAAATGATGAAGTTGTTTCTCATACTGGCGACCCATAATCTGATTTCTTTTCTTTTCTCCCCCCCCCCCAAACCTCTTGGTTCTGGAAGAAAAGGCAAGTTTTCAGACCCAGTTGAGAGGCAGCTGTTGGAAGGAAAGAAATTAGAAGGGACTGCTTGCTCAGCGTTCGATTTAATCTGCTATTCAGAAGGCTGAAGGCAGAACTGAACTGTGTAGCTTTGATAGCTTTTTCAGGCTAACAGTTCAGTGCAGGTAGCCCATCTTGTCACAATGAACAGGATAAAAGGCTGGTTTGTTAATTAATAGACTAGCTAGAAGGAATAGCTGCTGGCTGTTGAAGCAGAGGCTGTGTTTCTTTCTGTTTATCCAGGCCTAATTGTGGCTGCTTCTGAAAAAAATGACTTCGGGAGCGATCATCAATCTCACAGCTGTTCTGGACACACTGTGTCCCAGGATGTCCTTCTTACCTCGATAAGGGTCAGGCACTGATACTTGTACTTCCGTATATTCCACTTCAGGAGCGTCAAGGTCAGATCCTGTCACAAGCAGAATAAGAAAACTTTTGTTTCTGTTGCGCTCCAAAAGAACCGAGACGTTGCCTGTGCCTGCCTTTGGTTCACGTAGATCTTATTCCCACTGATTTTATAAAAATAAACGAAGGCATTTGTCTAAATTACTAAATATGTGCATTTTCCTCCAGCAAACATCTTATGGCTTGGTGTGATGTATAAACCAACAGAATAAGACATGGTGGGTTCATGCAACACATTAAGCCATGCTTTGCTGGAAAGAAAAAAACATACAGCACAACTTTCATGTGTCCACTTCTTTTTGTATACAGTAATTTTTGGGGGGAGAAGTATAACTAGCAAACAAACCAACACATCAAAAATATTAACACAGTGATAATACAGTAAAAGCCTACCTACATTACAGTGATTAACAGGTAAAAAAAATCTAAATGCTTATTTTGTACTGTATTTATATCATAAATAGCTTATATTTTTTTAGTTTTATCGTTTATTTCTTAGTTTCAGTTGTGTGAATCTTTCCTTTTCCCCTTGATTAATTGATAGGTTTTTGTGGCTATGTTACTCTTATTACAGATTATTAATTGACGAACTGATTATAGGTTGCATTAACAGAGGGATAGAATCAAGAACACGTGAAGCATTAGTACCACTTTCTAAAGCAGGGGTGTCAAACTCAATTTCACTGAGGGCCGCATCAGCATTGCCGTTGCCCTTGGGGGGCCAGGTGGGTGTGGCCAGAGTGGGTGCAGCCTACTGGGTGGGTATGGATGGAGTGGGTGTGGCCTACTGGGTGGGCATGGCCAGTTCTACATCATTCGCATCAAGGGTGCCTGTGGGGGCCTGGGCAGGAGTGGGACAGATCTGAGGGTCTCTGGCAGAAGGGGAATGGGACCTGGGCAAGTACCAAGGCATGGTCCACCGGGGCAAGTGCCAAGATGGCCACCACAAAATTGTACATTGGCTCCCGGCTGGCCTGGGTCAGGATCAAGGAAGCGGGGGGATGTTCCCTCACTGTTTCCAAGATGGCTTCGTGGGTCACATGAAACCACTTCATGGGCCGCATCCGGCCCCTGGGCCTTGTGTTTGACATGTCTGTTCTAAAGCCATAGTAAGACAACACTTGGAATACTGCATCCAGTTTTGGTTGCCACGATATAAAAAAGATGTTGAGACTCTTGAAAGGCTGCAGAAAAGAGCAACTAAGATGATTAAAGGCCTGGAGACAAAAAAAAAAAAAAAAAATGAAGAACGGTTGCAGGAATTGGGTATGGCCAGCCTAGAGAAAAGAAGGATGAGGGATGACATGATAGTAGTATTCCAGTATTTGAGTGGCTGCCACAAAGAAGAGAGGGTCAACCTATTCTCCAAAGCACCTGAGGGCAGGACAAGAAACAATGAATGGAAAGTAATCAAGGAGAGAAGCAACCTAGAACTAAGGAGAAATTTCTGGACAGTGAGGACAATTAACCAGTGGAACAAGTTGCCTCCAGAAGTTGTAAGTGCTCCAACACTGCAGGTTTTTAAGAAGAGACTGGACAGCCATTTGTCCAAAATGGTACAGGGTCTCCTGCTTGAGTGGGGAGGGGGGGTGGACTAGAAAGACTTCCAAGGTCCTTTCAGCTCTGTTATTCGGAACATATGTGTTATTAAACTAGTGTCAATTCTAGCAACCACAAAGAGCGGCTTCCTCTAGGATGATTTCCCCCTTTGTGTTTAATTTATTTTACCTGACTGCACTGCAAAAGGGTGGTCAGCCAGGCATGACACATTTTACACCCCCCCCCCCAAACTGCTCTTGGGTTGCCTTGGCTTAAGGAGGAAAATGTGGCTTTAGCAAAATTACAGCTAAAGACAATTCAATGATGTACTGTGCATAGGCTGAGTGTAAATTAAAGGTAACCCTACAAAGCAAAAAACCTCCCAAAAAACCATCCGGTGGTTTGCCTCATAGGTGGACACAAGTAGAGAAAAGCACTAAACTAAAAAGTTAAAATTTTACATGGAAACCCAAACAAAGATATTACCTCTATTATCCTCTTTTGCACTGATGTGATTTTTTTCGCCGTCTTCATTATGCCCCGAACCTAAATGGAAAAAATGAAGATAGAAAAACAAAAAGGAGCATCAGAGAGAGAACGAGTGTTTCTACCCATTTCAGATTCTAATCATTCTCATGCTTTATTTTCAGCTATAACTATCAACTAGTCTCTAAGGAATTGCCCCTGAAAAAAGGTGTCTGTCAGTAATGCCCATCATCCGGTCTGATTACATTAACACAATTATAACACTGGGTCAAGAAGGGTTAATGATCTTGGGCCTAGATTAGATTGTTCTCATTGTTGTCATTTTGGCAATGTTGGCATTACCTTGGCATTACAAAAGAAAGGATTCTTCCACACGATCTGCTCATTGAAAGTTGGAGAGGACCTGCCAAGTGAATTTAGAGGAGAGGCACCAAACAGCTTTTTCAGCCCTCAGCACCAAGAGGGAGATTTCATCTGCTCCAGTTGTGTTTTCCAGCTTCTTCCAGCACAAGCTGTGTTAGCTAATCAATCTAAAGTGGACTAGGGTGAGAGCCACCAGTGGTGGCTGCTGTGGGCATGTCCCCCTTCTGGTCCTTGGTCAATGACTTCCAGGGCAGCAGGAGGGTCACAGTTCTCCCATTGGGCCAAAATGCTATTGTTCTCATTTCTTTGCCAACCCATGGCTAGTAGGAGAAGAAGGGGAAGTAAATTATTTGGTTAAGTCACGGGCAGCTTTGCTACTCTCAAGCTTCTTCCTTCTGTTATATATTCAAGATGGGCAATGTTTAATATTTATTTATTATGTATATGTAGGGGTGTGGGTCTATACATATGTTGTATATAGTATGTTTAGATGTGTGTCATATATGTGTTTCACTTTGAGAGCGGGCAACTAAATTTCATTTTTGATGTGTGCCATTGTGCCCACAATAAAAAATGACAATAAATCTTATCATCTTATCCCAGGGGTTCTCAACCTTGGCAACTTTAAGACTTGTGGACTTCAACTCCCAGAATTCCTCAGCCAGCGTGTTTGGCTGAGGAATTCTGGGAGTTGAAGTCCACAAGTCTTAAAGTTGCCAAGGTTGAGAACCCCTGTCTTATCCTCTCCTATCCTATCCTATCCTGTCCTATCCTGTCCTGTCCCGTCCCGTCCCGTCTCGTCCCGTCCCATCCCATCCCATCTGGTCTCGTCTGGTCTCGTCTCATCTTACCTTACCTTATCTTATCTAAAAGGGTGCTACTTCCAGAAAACAAAGTGGGGGAGAAGACCACTGATAGCATGGGTAGCCTAATCACAGAAGTCCTGCAGGTCTTCTCCTAGCAGTAGCTGGCATGAAAGGAGATGTTCTCTGGTGCAGAGCAAATCCCTATTCTGCTTTGTTGCCAGGGCAGATTAAATTAGAAGGGCCAATTTCCGCAATGGATGGCAGCATTTCATAGCTTTCAGGAGGAAGTGCCCAAATCTATAATATAGGCATTAAGAAAGTAAATAATCTTACCATAATAGAATTCTCCTTCGTTATTGTGTCCTGTTGTCAGTTTCCCACCCACTGAATTGGTTGCTCTTTTGGATCTAAAATGAAAGAGAACAAGGGAAATAAAGAGGCACTTGCATTACAAATTATACACAGGATTATCCAAGTTCTCGGAAATATAGTTGTGTACAGGGCTTTTTTTCTATATTAACAAAAGGTGCCGGAACTCACACACGTCATACAACCCGCCTTGCCTACCCTACAAGGTTCCATCCCAAAAAGGTGCCGGAACTCCGTTCTGGGCATTCTATGAGGGGAAAAAGCCCTGGTTGTGTACCCCTCTGATGCCATATAGCATGGTCCCCAACCTTTCTGACTCCATGGACCGACGGCAGCAGCAGCAGTGGCAGTGGAAGTTTCACACGCATGCCCACTGCTTTTGCAGCCCAGTTCCCAACAGGCCGCAGACTGGTACTGGTCTACCAGCTGGGGGTTCGGGGTTGGGGACCCCTGCCATATAGGCAACCTTTCTGAACTGGTGAATCTATTTGGGACTATTACAATTGTGTTATAGGCTCTTCCACAAAAGGGCTGACACACCCACTCACAAAACACCCATTTAGCAGAAGGCAACTATTGAGGTTTTCTTCCTGATACTTTTCTAGCCCTTTGTGATATTATTTGCCTGTTCACCTTTTTCCTGGGGAGGAATACCCGTACAATTAATTGGGAAAATGTCTGTTTTTCCTTCTTTACTGAATATTCTTAATTCAATATTTCTACATCTCCCAAGGGACCACTTCCATAGTAGAAACTTTCCTAATGCTCTCGAAACATTCCGATAACTTAACTAATCAAATAAATTATTTGTTGTGTCCATTTGTGCAAATCAATGAGAGTGTTCCTACAGAACAGCTTTAGAGATTTATTTATTGCTACCTATAGATATATATGGAAAAAGCAATAATGCTTGAAAGATTTGGAGGTAAAAGGAAGCCAGGCCATCAGAGAAGACAGTTGCTGGACACCATTAAAGGTGACACCAGCCAGAGTACAGAAAAACTCACAGAAGTAGTGCAAGTTCGGAAGATGTGGAGATACCTCGCTCACACAACTGAATAAATAACATCTTCATCATTATCATCATCATCACCACCACCACCACCATCGTTATCATCATCATCATCACCATCATCATCATCATTATCAATATATGTATATCATCAAAAACAATTTGAATTCCAACTTACACAGACAACTCCGTAGAAGTGTTTTTCGCTTGATAAGGGGGAAAAAACAATAAATTACTATGTTGTAGTGCATAAACAGAAAGTCAGTTGTATAAACAAATGAACATGGAGGAAAAGTACTTCTCATACTGTTACTCTAACACTGCACAAAAAACTCTGGAAGCAGATGGATCTTAGTTTAAACCCATGTTAGTTTTCTCTAATTTCTTAAGAAATAATTTGTCATTGTAATTATCAGAAATAACAATAGAATTTGTAAAATATGGCCATGTAAAATGGCAAATGGGACAGTTATGAAAAAAATCTTTCAAGACAACATTTGTAAAATAGGCTAGAGCAGTGGTTCTCAACCTGTGGGTCGGGACCCCATTTGGGGTCGAATGACCATTTCACGGGGGTCACCAAACCATGCTGTCCGCCATTTTTTTCCTTTTTCCCTAGCTGTCTTACTCCCTCTTATTGGTGGCCACACCCACTTGGGGGTCACCACAACATGGGGAACTGTATTATGGGGTCACGGCATTAGAAAGGTTGAGAATCACTGGGCTAGAGGGTCAAAACAAAAGAATTATCTATAACTAATGGAGAACCAATTTTACAGAACAGCAACATATATATCTTTTCCTTTGACAATCAAAAATCTCCCTAATCACAAAGTTTTAAATAGGAGATTTCTACAAAACTACACTATTTAAAAATTTCATGGCCCACCTAAGCAGATATTTTTAATTACTATTTGCTACCAGATACAAATTTTAATCAATCAATGGAATTTTCAGAATACTATTTTGTACATCATCTTCAAATGTACTGTTTATTTTTCTTTTAAAGATATAAATATGTAATTTGTATAAATGAAGTTTATTTCAAATTACACAATTTGCCCTGATTTCTAAAACAATTGGGTTTGCACAGTCCTAGTTCACTAAATATGCTATTCCTGGTTAGCTTATCATGGTGCATTTAATTAATTAATTCAATTTTCCTGGGTCACATGAAACTGAATATTCACTCTGTGGGGTTGACAGGCCTTGCAGAGTTCTTTGATTAAAGAAAGGACAATATCTACGTTCATTGGTGACTGGAAACCCCGTGAACTTTTTACATAAAAATGGGGGGGGGAGAGAAAAGAGAGAGAGAGAGAGAGGGAGAGGGAGAGGGAGAGGGGGGGGAGAGAGAGAGATTAAAATATAATTGCACTTATACTTGCTGTGAAGAACATTGGAAGCCACTTCTTTATATCTTTCTTTTTTTTCCTACTTTTCTCTACTTATTTTCCTACTGCATTTTTAGTCTCTCCTTTCCTTTCCTCCTCCTCCCCTTCCCCTTCCCTTCCTTCTTTCCTTTTCCCTTGCTCTACCATAGTTTGTTTTTAGTTCTTATTATTTGCAATAAAAAATATTAAAACATAGGCTGGGTTTACAAAACATAGTAGATAAAAACATGGTGGCTAGTTGCTTTTTTTTTTTTTTTTTTTTTTTGAGAATTGTGAGAGAACATCCAATGTTCTAATCTAAGCCATGTCCAGCTATAATTTGTTGAACACCTCATATTGAACAATTTCACATATAATCATAAACGAGTTACTCCAGGACTAAGACAACTATGTTTAGAATTAGCATGCAAACTCATGATTAATGGCTGGAAAATTGGGTGCATTTCATAACTCAAAATACTCTTCTCCGTTTCAACTTGTAAATGAATTCTCCCGTCATCTCAGATTTGGCCCATACTGCAACAGAAGTCTCCATAAACACTTTCACCAGATTCACTAACATATCCCCTAACACTATAATTAGGTGCGCATCTGCAAATTTTACTTTCCAGCCAATCATCAGAAGCATTACTGCAGGACAAGTGAAGCACAAATTTAGTTTGGAAAAAGAAAGTATTATTTGAGGCGGGTGGAGGTGAGCTTCTTTTATTCCCGAGGTTAGGCTTAATAAGGGAAATGCAGCATTAATTCTGACAACCGAAAGGTTCAGAAGAATCCTGTACTATTTGCTAATCAGGTAAGAACTAAAGATTTTTAAGGTAGGCTTTACCCTTTGCTTTCAAACGACAATTCAACCAAACGATTGTAATTATAGCAGCAAGAAAAATCAGGAGGATTGTGGCTACAATAAGTCCTTTCTTCCACGAAGCCATGACAACTAAAAATTAAGAGAAAAATCAGTCACAATTCAGGCATATAATATCATAAGAATCTCTTCCTACAGTGTCAACTCTTCGCTATGTCACCTCAACTATGTCACCTCAACTGTTGTAAGTTGAGGACAGTTGGACAATGAGAACAATTAATCAGTGGAACGACTTGCCACCAGCAGTTGTGAATGCTCCAACACTGGAGGTTTTTAAGAAGAGATTTAACAACCATTTGTCTGAAATGGGATAGGGTTTCTTGCCTGATCAGGGGGATGGACTAGAACGGGGGTCCCCAACATGCCAGCAACCGGTCTGCACAACAAGCGAAGCCCCATCTGCGAGATGCAGGCAGCACACAAAACCACGCATTCTTTGATCCATGGAAAAAACATTCTCCACGGAACTGGCTCCTGGTGCCCAAAAGGTTGAGGGCCTCTGGAGTAGAAGACCTCCAAGATCTCTTCCAACTCTGTTATTCTATTATTCTGAGGACTGCCTCTATTTCCAATCAACCCTTTACTTGCACTTGGAGCTGGACAGGAAGATCCTGCCATGCAATCTTACTCTAACACAGTTGGACAAATTATAGAGGAAAGGCCACAGAATAAAGACTAGGATACCCTCATTGTAATGGAACCCTCTTTGCACCTTTGCTTGGTGTGAAATAACACAAACTTCTTTGCATTGGCACTTTACATTCCCAAAGGTACAGGCATCAGCTTCCAAGACCAAAGTGAGAAAACATGCATCAGGATGCAAATTCTACCCTTTTGCCTATAGAGGGCAGTGTTTATATGGCAACACTGGCACACATGGTTTCATCACTTGCTCTCTATGACGCTGAAGAGCTACGGTATTACAGATAATCCTCAACTGACAATCATCCATTTAGTGGCCATTTGAAGTTACAACAGTTCTGAAAAAGTGGCTTATGGCCCTTTCCCACACTTATGACCATTGGAGCATCCCCCATAGTCATGCAGTCAAAATTCGGACTCTTGGCAACTGGGAGGAATTTTATCAGAGTTGCATTGTCCTGAGATCATGTGATCACCATTTGCAACCTTCCCAGTCGGCTTCCGGCAAGCAAGGTCAATGGGAGGAAGCCAGATTCGCTTAACAACCAAGTGATTCACTTATCAACTGCAATGATTCATTTAACATCTGGCAAAAAAGGTCGTAAAATGGGTCAAAATTCAATTAACAACTCCCTTGCTTAGCAACGGAAATATTGGACTCAGCTGTGGTCATAAATCAAGGACTACCCGTACATTCATTTGAAAGCTGGGATAATTCACGTTTCCTGTCAGATTCTATCTAAGTTTCATCCGGGGATCTGCAATATTATACAGGTAGTCCTCGACTTACGACCACAATTGAGCCCAAAATTTCCGTTCTTAATTGAAACGTTTGTTCAGTGAGTTTTGCCCCATTTTACGACCTTTCTTGCCAAAGTTGTTAAGTGAATTACTGCTGTTGATAAGTTAGTAACCCGGTTGTTAAGTGAATCTGGCTTTCTCAGTGGGTTTGCTCGTCAGAAGGTTGCAAAAAGTGATCACATGACCTTGGGACACAGCAACGGTCATAAATATGAACCAGTTGCCAGGCATCTGAATTTTGATCACGTGACCATGTGGATGCTGCCAAGGCCGTAACTGTGAAAAGCGGTCATAAGTCATTTTCTTCAAAGTGACCATTATAACTTTGAATGGCCACTAAACCAACTGTCAAGGAGCACCTGTACAGAATAGAATCTGAGAGATTGTGCAAAGAAAATGTTTTCAGAAATACAGAAAAAAAAAATGTCCTTTGTCCTCTTGTGGTGCACAGGACACACTTTACTTCTTTCTTTTGCGTCCTTGGACTAACGAAGCTGCTCTTCGCATTTCTTGGAGGTGTTACATAGTGAAATTTAACCTCATCAGGTGCAACATCTGCACCTCGTGTCATGATGACACCATGCCTGTTTCATCGTGGTGATCAGCAACAGAAGGCACTGCCCAGAGACTTTGTCTTCCGTGCTCAGGAGCGGGACATACCCTTGATCAGGATCTTTTGGCTTTCCACAAAAGAGTTTGCTTGGTTGTCAGCTCTGCAGAAGTAGCTCCCTTCGTCCTGGCTTGTGAAGCTTTGCCTGTGCCAAATAACTGACAGTTTTTTCTTTTCTATGACACGATGTAACAATTTGGCGTCATTCTCTTTAAAAAAGTGGAACTCAATAGGGAAGGATCCTGATGCAACCGAGCAGAAAAATAAGAGTTCATTGCCATCTTCTATGTTCTCCTGTGGTTCTCTTTCAAAAGTTACGTTAACAACTGGAGCTGCGGATGCAAGTACATGGACAAAGGTCAGCAGTAGATTGAACTGGGTTAGCAGAGGTCCTAATCCTTCCCAACTGCGTTTTGTTTTTTAAAATTTAGTATCCTGCTTTTATTATTTTTACAAATAACTCAAGGCAGCGAATATATCCAACATATCTTCCTCCTCCTGTTTTCCCCACAACAACAGTCCTGTGAAATGGGCTGGGCTAAGAGAGAGTGACTGGCCCAAGGTCACCCAGATGGCTTTCATGCCTAAGGCAGGATTAGAACTCAGGGTCCCCTGCGACCAAACTGGCTGGGAATGGGGCCTGCGTGTAAAAAAATGGAGCTGCTGTAGGTAAACATGAAGCTTTGTTATCTCTAATGGAATCCATTTCCAGACAGCATGCAAAGGCAAGGAACTCTATATTAGGATCTTTTTTAAAAAAATTAGCAACGTAAGAGTTCTAAGATTTTTCAAAGGAACCTTATGAAACCAATAATTGCCTCAGATCAGCTTTCCCACCCTGGCACCCTTCAGATATATTCAGATTCAGACAAATAGCATGACAAACAGCAATTCTCACCAATCTTTAAAAAAAATAAAAGCACACCAAACAGTTACCTATTATTGTGACATTTAACCTTTTGCTTTGTTGCGAAAGAGAGTGGCCATTGTTAGCACGGCATCTGTATTGTCCAGACTCGTGGATGCTATTCGCTTTGACCGTAAAGTTTGCTGGTATGTTTTCTCTGGTCACAATCTTCCTGATAGGTATATTCCCTCTGTAAAGGGTGTATGTGATAGGCAGAGTCCCAAACCTTGAGTAACATTGTAAGACAAAGAACTTCTCCAGTACAGCTATTTGGGAAACTGGTTGATAAAGGACAGGCAGAGAAACTGGAGCTGGAAAGAAACAGAGTATTGATTAATTAACTAACTAAATTTATTTGCCATCTATCTCGGCATATTGGGAGATTAGTGGCAGCTGAAATAATAAAACAACCCTATTTCATTACACAGCAGTTAATTCCTAAAATGGGAAATGAAAGTGCAGAAAGAAAACCACACAATGGTGAGGGGAGATGAAGTCTGTACTTGTCCAGAAATACAGATCTTTGATTTACAACAGTTCATTTAGTGACTGTTCAAAATTACAACGGCACTGAAAAAAACGTAACTTATGACCATTTTTCACAGTTACGACCTTTGCAGCATCCCCATGGTCATCTGATCAAAATTCAAATGCTTGGCAACTGAATCGTATTTATGACCGTTGCTGTGTCCCAAGGTCATTGCGATCCCCTTTTGCGACCTCCTGACAAGAAAAGTCAACGGGGAAGACAGATTCACTTAACAACCAGGGTTACTAACTTACCAACTGGAGTGATTCACTCAACAACTGTGGCATGAAAGGTCGTAAAATGGGGCAAAAGCCATTTAACAAAAGTCTCACTTAACGACAGAAAATTTGGGTTTGATTGCAGTCGTAAGTCGAGGACTACTGTACTCTTTATGAAGGTGAAACTTGAGAAGAATGCACTACCACAGGACACAGATGAGCTGATTCATTTATTGAAGCGTGAGTGATTGCACACTGTTGTAAAGCTTGGTCACGCACCATGGTGCACTGCAAACAACTGTAAATATGGGCTAGTTCAGGGGTAGGCAACCTTGGCTCTTTTATGACTCGTGGACTTCAACTCCCAGAATTCCTGAGCCAGCATGGCTCAGCGTGGAAACCTCTCCCTTCCCCTCAGCATGGCTGGCTCGGGAATTCTGGGAGTTGAAGTCCGCGAGTCATAAAAGAGCCAAGGTTGCCTACCCCTGGGCTAATTGAAGAACGGGCCAAAAGGGGTCATTTGATTGCCTGGGGAGGGCAACTGTTGGAACTTCAGAACCAGATCCTAAATAGCTTTTGGGGGTCCATCATAAATTTGAACAGTCGCTAAGCAACTGATCATAAGTTGAGGACTATCTGTACCATAAAGTTGCAGAAAGGCTTGTGTTCAGTGTATAATGATTTCCTATTTATCAGATAAGAAAGCCTTCCATAGTCTCGGCTTTTCCAAATGCTTTGGACGTGCCAGCTAAGAATCCCAAGATCAGTTGTCCTGACTCTCAACATATCTAGAAGAGCTCCAAGTTGGAGAAGGCAAAAGTAAAAATAGAGAGCTTCACATCTTTAAATCAACCTACCATAAACACGGAGAAATACTGGGTCACTTGTCTTGGAAATGTTGTTTATCTCTGCTCTACACATATAGATTCCAGTGTCAGATACATGGAGCTCAGCCCAGTAAGTGCTGGAGTTTGCCAATATTTTGTTGTCCTTCATGAGCGAGAGACTGATCGGCATTGGACCGTTCACTTGACAGTGAATTTGTACAATGCTGTTTTCATCCCAGCTGGTTTTATTAACCACTAATATTGGTTTGGAAAACAGTTCTGCAAAATAATGAGAGAACATAAATTACTGATCTGAAAGGGAAGGGGAGCCTGAAGGTATTGGTTTATTTAGAAAAATTGCCCATCTTAAGCAAATAACCAATATAAAGCAGCAGTCAAATAGAATCTCAAAAGCATGGATACTGGCCTCTGCTAACAACCTGGTGTAGGGAGTCTGCACCCCCCCCCCAGAGAATGAAATATTTTGGAGAATATTAAGAGGCGGGATAGAATATTTCCCATGAAGGAGAAATGGAGAAAAAAAATATTAGGCAGAAACAGCCCCAATCTTCCTTTCCTCAGGCAAAAACCTGAAGAGGCCAACCTTTAGAAATGCAGATTTGGTAATCCAATCAGAAAGACTGGGGCACACTATTCATAAGCAAAACACCTTCAGCTCCCACAGCTCATGGGATTAAGAATTAACATTCCCCCACCCAAATTCCAAGGACAGGACGTGACCTTTAGGACATAATATGATTAAACCGCAGCCATTAGACTAGCAAAGGACACAAAAACCCACCTCATTGCACAATCCAGAAACATTTCCACTTCAAAGTCTCAAAGCCCCATAAAAATCCACCCACTCTCAATTCCATTTGGTCAGCTGTCCCAGAACTGCATGCTGTTGCTGGTTCTGCTCATCAATAAAACCTTCTTTCCTAAGCAGTCAGCCTCCATTTTTATTCCCGGCTTGGAACTGTACTGATTTTTCTTTCAACACTGGTTCTCATGATGGAAGGATAACCAGGATTTCATAAACTTCTGAAAGGCCAAAAGTGTCAGAACCATTTAGATCTGGGGTGGGGTGGGGAATACTGTTTCTTAAGATGGACACTGTCACAGAGACGGTGTAACTCCTAGGCTCCTGCAAGATGGCACTGTTTAAGCAAGGAGACCTGAGGTAGATGTGCTCTGATGGGACAGGCAAACAGGGGTGAGGCAGTTCTGCAAGTAAACTGGCCCTGTGCTATATATATGACCTTAAAAATTATAGCTGGCCCCTTATACTCAGTGGAGTTGCATAGACAAACTTAGACATGATTTAGACTTATGCATTACTACAGTCAGAGAACATATGTCTCTGTTATTTGGAGACAGTTGCATAGCTGTGGCATTATACTTCTGTCAATTGTAACTTTCTGGCTAGGGGGTACTCAAACAACAATATGACTTGTCTTCCACCTGCCTCCCAACAGTAATCAACTAATCAGCATACAGGACATGCATCTCCATACAACACATAGTTGAGATTTGGCAGGTGTGCACATCAGCCCGCCTGCAACTATCTGCAACCTACATTTATCCATCAACCCTTTGTAGTGTAGGTATGCGTCGATACCTACACTCAGTTGTGGACAAGTCTAAATCAAGCTTGAGGTGTACTCAATACTATGCATGCCAATTGTTTCCTGGAGCAATTGAGGGATTCAAATGCTTTTCAAGACAAAATGTTGCAATAATTCAATCTGAAAGTGACTAAGGCAGTGGCGGCAAACCTATGGCACAGGTGCCAGAGGCAGCACCCAGATCCCTCTCTGTGGGCATGTGCACTGTCGCCCCAGTCCTAGGCCTTCAGCTGGGTTTTATAAAACCTTTTCGCTTTAGACCTCTGCCGCTATATACAAAAAAAAGGTTCAATCAATCAGTCAATTTCAACTTCTCATGGAGAAAAAAAGATCTTGCAAAGTTGGAATTGATTGATTGAACTTTTTAGTCTCACCCAGTCTGCCGTTACCACCACAGCCAAGCCCACCCAATGGGCCACACCCAGTCAATGGGCCACACCCACCCGGCACCTGACAATGCATAAGTGGGTTTTGGGTTGTAGTTTGGGCACTTGGTCTCTAAAAGGTTCGCCATCACTGGACTAAGGCATGAAAGGCTATAAGCAGATCCAAGAAAAGGCACAACTGGCACATAAGATGGATTTGTGCAAAGGTCCTGCCCACCTAGCAGTTTGAAAGCATGCAAATGCAAATAGATTAATAAGTACCACTTTGGTGGGATGGTGGGACAGTAACAGCATTCTATGTGCCTTTGGCATATAGCCATGGTGGTCACATGACCATGGAAAATGTCTTTGGACAATGCTGGGTCTCTTGGCCAAGAAATGAAGATGAGCACTGCTCCCTAGAGTCAGACACGACTTTACCTTTCTACCTTTTAGGCATACCTGCCAACTATTCCTTGATTAGAACTCATGAGTACAGGAGGACCCCCAGATTGTACACCAACTCTGCCTGAGGGGATTACTAACCCTTCTAGAGTTATCAATGGCACAACGCCGGACCTAGCTTCACCCCCAAATCCACTCATGCTTGCTTGCATGAGTTGCAATCCAGAAAAGACATCTACCGCCTTCAGACACTAGGTACACACTAAGGTATGTCATCAAATGTTAGTTTTACAGAGTGTGAACCACCCTGTCAGAACCAAAAAAATCATTAAAATAATTAGAGGGAGCATATGCTCAAAAGTCTTGAATAACGGTTCTAAATACAGATTCTTTTCTGTCAACAAACAGGGAATTTAAGTTAATAGTGCTGGAATTATCACCATCAAAGCTGACACCAGCTAGAGCAGAGGTGCCCATTCTTTTGAGCACCAGGGACTGGTTACACGGAGAGAGGTTTTTCCACAGACTGGAGGGTGCGTGGTTTTGTGTGCTGCCTGCATCCTGTTGATGGGGCTTTCCTTGTTTGTGCGGCCTAGTTGCTGGCATGCCGCAGCCTGGTACTGGTCCATGGCCGGGGGTTGGGGACCTCTGAGCTAGAGCATAGAACAACTCAAAGAAGTTGTGTGAGATCAGAAGGTATGGAGAGACGTGGCCCATAGAATCACCAAGAGTTGGGCACGACTGAATGGATAACATCATCATCATTGGAATTATAGTGAGGAGGAATTTGTATGGTGATTGTAGAGATGAAAGATAGGAGGGAACAGGTTAACCATAGTAACTGCAACGTACAAAGCCCTTTCCTTATCAGTATAATGCATGGGATATCAAATCTTAGTACCCCAGATACAAACTGCACGTATCTATTAAATGTGTGACCTGCCACAATTCAATGATTCTTGGCAGCTTACAAAACCAAACTGCCTTTTTCTGTTTTTAATAGTCAAAACAGAAGCTTTATTGCACAACAGAAATTTGCCATTCTCAAGTCTGCAGAAATAATGGGAGAATGGCAATCTATTGAAAGGAGCTGTTGAGTCCATAGGTTTCCTACTGCGTGCTATGTAAAGGGGCATATTTATGTTAGTATTCTCTGTGCATCACTCAGGCAGCCATGCAGCCCCCCCCCCGGGCAAAGCCTCAAATCTTTGACATGGTAAAGATAGCAGGTCTCTCTATTATTGGGCTAAATTCAGAATTCAACAGATTTGTTTTTGGGAATCTGGAAATATAAATGTTATTATATTATAATACATCACTACCTTTATAACTGAGATAACTGGCAGTTTTAACAAAGTATACAAAATTATACCCCTTTATGGATTACTGCCTTGTCGTGGCGAAGGGGCTTGCGTACTCAATGAAGCTATAAGCTATGCCGTGCAGGGCCACCCAAGACGGACAGGTTATAGCAGAGAGTTCTGACAAAATGTGATCCACTGGAGAAGGAAATGGCAAACCACTCCAGTATCTTTGCCATGAAAACCCCATGGACAGTACTAAAAGGAAAAAGATATGACGCTGGAAGATGAGCCCCTCAGGTCGGAAGGTGTCCAATATGCTACTGGGGAAGAGCAGAGGGCTAGTACTAGTAGCGCCAGAAAGAATGAAGCGACTGGGCCAAAGCCGAAAGGACGCTCAGCTGTGGATATATCTGGTGGTGAAAGGAAAGTCCGATGCTGTAAAGATTTTTTCTCCATAGGAACCTGGAATGTAAGATCCATGAATCAAGGCAAGCTAGACGTAGTCAAAAAAGAGATGACAAGACTGAACATTGACATCTTAGGAATCAGCGAACTAAAATGGACAGGAATGGGTGAATTTAACTCAGATGACCATCAGGTATACTACTGTGGGCAAGAATCCCTCAGAAGAAATGGAGTAGCCTTCATAGTCAATAAAAGAATAGGAAAAGCAATACTGGGATACAATCCCCAAAATGACAGAATGATCTCAATTCGAATCCAAGGCAAACCATTCAATATCACAATAGTCCAAATCTATGCCCCAACCACTGGTGCTGAAGAGGATGAAATTGACCGGTTCTATGAAGCCCTACAGCACCTTATAGAATTAACACCAAAAAATGATGTCCTTATCATCATGGGGGATTGGAATGCTAAGGTAGGAAGCCAAAAGATAACCGGAATAACAGGCAAGTTTGGCCTTGGAGTAAAAAATGAAGCAGGGCACAGGCTAATAGAATTTTGTCAAGAGAATACGATGGTCATAACAAACACTCTTTTCCAACAACCCAAGAGACGGCTCTACACATGGACATCACCAGACGGTCAACATAGAAATCAGATTGACGATGTGCTCTGCAGCCAAAGATGGAGAAGCTGTATACAGTCAGTAAAAACAAGACCAGGAGCTGACTGTGGCTCAGATCATGAGCTTCTCGTTGCAAAATTTAGGCTTAAATTGAAAAAAGTAGGGAAAAGCACTAGGCCACTCAGGTATGAACTAAATCATATTCCTGATGAATATACAGTAGAGGTGACAAATAGATTTAAGGAACTTAGATCTGATAGACAGAGTGCCTGAAGAATTATGGATGGAAGTTCGCAACATTGTACAAGAGGTAGCAACTAAAACCATCCCAAAGAAAAAGAAATGCAAGAAAGCAAAATGGCTGTCTGAGGAAGCTTTGCAAATAGCTGAGGAAAGAAGGGAAGCGAAAGGCAAAGGAGAAAGAGAAAGATACACCCAATTGAATGCAGAATTCCAAAGAGTAGCTAGAAGAGATAGCTAGAAGAGATAAGAATGCCTTCTTAAATGAACAGTGCAAAGAAATAGAAGAAAACAACAGAATAGGGAGGACCAGAGATCTCTTCAAGAAAATTGGAGATATGAAGGGAACGTTTCATGCAAAGATGGGCATGATAAAGGACCAAAATGGCAGAGACCTAACAGAGGCAGAAGAGATTAAGAAGAGATGGCAAAACTACACAGAAGAACTATACAAGAATGAGCTTAACATCCCAGATAACCACAATGAGATGGTCACTGACCTCGAACCAGACATCCTAGAATGTGAAGTGAAATGGGCCTTAGAAAATCTGAGCAACAACAAAGCTAGTGGAGGTGACAGTATTCCAGCTGAGCTATTCAAAATCTTAAAAGACGATGCAGTAAAAGTGCTACACTCAATTTGCCAGCAAATTTGGAAAACTCAACAGTGGCCACAGGATTGGAAAAGGTCAGTTTACATTCCAATTCCAAAGAAAGGCAATGCCAAAGAATGTTCAAACTATCGCACCATTGCACTCATTTCACATGCTAGTAAAGTTATGCTTAAAATCCTACAAGCTAGACTCCAGCAGTATGTGGATCGAGAACTACCAGAAGTACAGGCAGGATTTCGAAGAGGCAGAGGAACCAGAGATCAAATTGCCAACATACGCTGGATCATGGAGAAAGCTAGGGAGTTCCAGAAAAACATCTACTTCTGCTTCATTGACTATGCAAAAGCCTTTGATTGTGTGGATCACAACAAATTGTGGCAAGTTCTTAAAGAGATGGGAGTACCAGACCATCTCATTTGTCTCTTGAGAAACCTATATGCGGGTCAAGAAGCAACAGTGAGAACCGAACACGGAACCACTGATTGGTTCAAAATTGGAAAAGGAGTCCGGCAAGGCTGTATACTGTCGCCCTGCCTATTTAACTTATATGCAGAGCACATCATGAGAAAGGCAGGGCTAGATGAATCAAAAGTTGGAATTAAGATTGCCGGGAGAAATATCAACAACCTAAGATATGCAGATGATACCACTCTAATGGCAGAAAGTGAAGAGGAACTAAAGAGCCTCTTGATGCGGGTGAAGAAGGAGAGTGCAAAAGTTGGCTTGAAACTCAACATTAAGAAAACCAAAATCATGGCATCCGGCCCTCTCAATTCCTGGCAAATAGATGGGGAAGAAATGGAGGTAGTGACAGATTTTATTTTTCTGGGCTCAAAGATCACCTCAGATGGGGACTGCAGCCAAGAAATTAAAAGACGCTTGCTCCTGGGGAGGAAAGCTATGGCAAATCTAGACAGCATACTAAAAAGCAGAGACATCACCCTGCCAACAAAAGTGCGTATAGTCCAGGCCATGGTTTTCCCAGTTGCAATGTATGGCTGTGAAAGTTGGACCATAAGAAAGGCTGAGCGCCAAAGAATTGAGGCCTTTGAACTATGGTGCTGGAGAAGACTCCTGCGAGTCCCTTGGACTGCAAGGCGTTCAAACCGGTCAGTCCTAGAAGAGATCAACCCCGACTGCTCTTTAGAAGGCCAGATCCTGAAGTTGAAACTCAAGTACTTTGGCCACCTAATGAGAAGGAAGGATTCACTGGAGAAGAGCCTAATGCTGGGAAAGATTGAGGGCAATAGAAGAAGGGGACGACAGAGAATGAGATGGCTGGATGGAGTCACTGAAGCAGTAGGTGTGAATTTAAATGGACTCCAGAAGATGGTAGAGGACAGGAAGACCTGGAGGAACATTGTCCATGGGGTCGCGACAGGTCGGACACGACTTCGCAATTAACAACAACAACAACAAAATTATAAAATTTAAATTTCATGCATGGGCGATGCTGGTCCCAGTGCTACCCTTTCAGCATTTTTCTCTGGGTCTAATTTTCACCTGTCATTGTCAGGAAACTGGTATGATTCACTTTCGCTCTAAGAATGCTAAATGCACTTGTTTGTTCACTTACTCACTGCCAAATGACTGGAAGGTGGCTTTCGTTTCTTCCAGGAAATTTGATTTAATGTTTATGTGTTCTTCTAAAAAGACACCCACAGTACAATGGGAACAATAACAGAAAAAATAAAAATAATACTGTAGCACATTACTGGAAAAAAACATAAACTTAAATCTTAAATATTTGCCCTCCGTTTGCTAAAATGTATTTAATGTAAAATACATTAAACTACAAACATTATAATAGTCATTGACCTTCAAGAGTCTTCAACTTACAACCTCAACTGAGCCCAAAATTTCCATTGTTAAGCAAGGCAGCTGTTAAGTGAGTTTTGCCCCATTTTACAACTTTTTTTGCCATAGTTGTTAAGCAAATCACTGCAGCTGTTAAGTGAATCATGCAGTCATTAAGCAAATCTGGTTTCCTCCATTGGCTTGTCAGCTGGGAAGGTTACAAATAATGATCACATGACCCCGGGACAGTGCAACTGTCATAAATACATGCCAGTTGCCAAGAGTCCAAATTTTGATTCTGTGACCATGGGGATGTTGATGCGACGGTGATGCAAGTGTGAAAACTGGTCATAAGTCACTTTTTTCACTGCCGTTGTAACTTCGAATGATCAGTAAACAAATGGTAAATTGTAAGTCAAAGACTATCTGCACTGTAATGCTACCCTATCATAGAAGGCCCTGGGTTCACCTGAAGCAAGTCTAAGGTACGCACTACATTAGAGTAATTCATTATTTGCCCACAGACTCCATGTGATGGCTGAAAAGCATCCTGAGTGCTATTTCTGGGTTAGAAAAATCCTCCTGATAAATGTTATTATCTATTGCGCCCTTCCCAAGGTTTCAAGTGGATTAATAGTGGGCTGAAGGACTCAACTGTCTTATTCTTAGGCAAGGCAACGTTGTCTTAGTATCCTACAGCTTGCCTAAAAACCAAGCAACACCTTCGGTGTTTATTTCCAGAACTGTGGTACATGATTCCCCAATCCTGCTATACATAAAACGTGAGGAAAGACATGTGTGTTCAGACACTGCCTTATTTTCTGCTGAGTTCACCTGAAGCAATTTCACAAGGTGTGAAGGACATCATAGGACATCATGAGGTTGCTCTGACTAGAACTCACCCAAATGATAATTTCATACCTTGAAAAAGTAGATATCCCACCCCATAATTAGTGAAAGCATAGGCTAAGGTCGGGCTGTGAGTTATTAAAGCAAGATGGAGAAATCTCTTACCAGCCACCACAAGTTCTTCTTTGTCAGTTTTAGATACACTTCCGTGCTCCACTTTGCACATATAATTGCCATTGTCTTCCATCTTGACTATCTTGCAATATGTTAGGGTCTCTCTGCCCTTCGTGCTATTCAGAATTGTTTTGTTTTTCTGCAAGATAATTTCAGTTTGATCCTGGCGAAGTAGGACTGTCGAACACGTTATACAGATCTTATCCCCTTCGGTAATATTCTGTGGTGGGTCGATAGTTATTTTAGGAACAGAAAATGGTTCTGCCAAAAAAGAAGCAAATTGTCATAATTTAAAAAAACCCAGCCTATGGAAAGATTCCAGAGAGGTGGCTACGTTACTCTGCTAAAGCAAAAACCTGAGTTTGGGTCTTGTGGGCAACTGTCAGAAGAATAATTTGGAGTTCCAACTTGAGTTAGGGCTGTGCAAGAATAAATAAAACTGAGATCTGGACAGCTATGAGGAAAGAAGAAATATTTATTCCTAAAAGCAAAACAGTTTGCATTTAAGGGCAGGCTGCAGAGAAATGGGGTTCAGCAGCAAATTTTTATAGGGGGAGCTTGTGCGGGGTATCATGTGCGGATTCTAGAGTGGCACTTGAGGGGCATGTGTGTGTGTATGTTTGTGTAGGTATGTTTATTCTTGTGAACATGCAGTTCCTCTGGGACACCTAATTGTTTGCAGACCTTATCCTTTGATATGTGGATTAGATCTGGATAACTTATTTGAGGAAGTTTGCTAATTTTTGTTTAACTTAGTTTCAGCTTGACTGTTAATATTTTAAGGGGAAGATGGAAACAGTATAAAAAATAAAAATATATTTGGATATAAAACTTCTCACACACCTTATAAGCTAACTAAGAATTTAAGATGTCATTGACTATAGTCCACTTCTTCAGATATATGTAGTATTATCCATATAAAGGAATCTGAGGAAAGGGAAGGGTGGGGAGGATAAAAGTAAAGATTAAATAAGCTATAGAAAGTAAAAATAATTATTATTTATACTGTAGGTAGCAGGGCTGTACTATTATTTCTTTCTTGAGATTGTTGAGACTCTGGGAAAATATACATTTGGTTTAAGGACTTGCTGTCAAATGGCATCTGTGTGAGAATGTGTGTGTGCATGTATGGTGAGATAGTAGTTGCAACTGTGTAATGAAAGTCCCACTCCTTTGTACATGTATGGAACATTGATGCATATCCAAAAGGGACAAGGGATAATCACTATCTTGCCTGCTCTCTCTCCCTCTCTCCCTCTCCCTCTCTCTCTCTTTCTCTCACGCGCACACACACACATACACACACACACACACACACACACACACACACACACACACACACGGATGCTGCTAGGTCAAAGTATGATCTAAAGCACCATTTTATCTTTAAATCCAGAGCACTGCATGGGCTTAAACAAAAAAGACCATTCATAATTCTGTACCCCTGTTGAATTTATTCTCACGCTGGTGAGATTATTAATGAACATACACGATGTTCTAAAAACAAATTGCATTAAGACCTTTTCATAAAATTCCATCTCTGCTGCTTCATGATGGTGAACAGACTTGAACAAAATAATTGCAAATTTGGATGAAATATCTGAGTTGGGGTCCTCTAACGGCAGCATCTCCACTACTTCTAGGTCAGCTTTGCATGCACAAAAATACATGTGGTTGTGTCTATAAGGCAGCAGAGCCAATTAAATTCTCACTCTTTTGGGGTGCAAAAGAAATGACTATGGAGACAATTCAACAGTATGAAAGATTTAGCCGGTGACATCACCATTGCTCAGGGGACACCCAGTAGGGAGCTCCTTTCATGTCCCCAGCAGGAGTTGGAGCAAAGGACAGGAACTCAACCCCACCCCATGGTAGCACTCAGGTCTCAAATGAGGGCTTTCTAATCTCCAGCCCAGCATCCTAACTATGCAAGCCACTGTGCTCCTCACCCTATTCTTTGCTGCTCTTTTAGTGGAGTTGAAGAGCAACAGTGTAGCTCCCTGGAACAGTAGGCACATACATAACTTAGAAATCACTAGAAACACAGGGAAAAGGTGAAACAACTGGGGTGGTGGTGGTGTTTGGTGCTGCCCATTGGTCAACTTGAGAGCAAACCCATAAGCTCATGAGATGCTTTCAAGTCTCACATCGGTAACAAAAAGAGCAATTGTGGAATGGTTGAAAACAGTTGTTGGAGTGAAAACAGTATTGGTATGCAGTATCCTTTAGCTCCCTGGGTTAAAAATGGTGACATTCTTATCACAGCCTGTATTAATCAGCCGATCCATGCAAAAAATATCAATTGCAGGGGGATACAAAAATGCATACATAGTATTAGTTTCTCAAGACAAAACAGCAGATATCTAACAAAGTTGTACAAATGAAGTGGTAACTCTTTAAGATGTCACAAGACTAATGGTTATTTTGTTTTCTGTAATGATCTTTGAGGACTTAGATACTTTGACATTTATTTCTGTTCAAAAGCCTTCTATAAACAGGAATTTGACAAAAACCTTTAATTGATTTTAAAATATATGACAGTCAGCATCAGAGATAATCCAGAACCAGTGCTTTTGGCAGTTCTTGTACTTTCAATCATGAGTCAGCCAACATGCTTGGAATATCTCTGACAGAGAATTTGAAAACCGCCTTGTTGATTCAAAGATCCATCTGGCATAGCAATTATTTATCAATATGTTAGGATATTGAATTTAGTAGCTGGAACAGTAAAGTGTACACTAGGCTAGAACACACAGTTATAGTTAATTAGAGAGTGCTGATTCATGCATGAGGCAATCTACGCTATGATTGGTTGCTGTAAGTATAAAGGGGGAGTTTCCCTTTTTTCCCTCCTTTTTTCTTCTGAGTGTTCTGTATACTGTTTAATTTACCTCATGATGTTCCTGGGTTCCTGACTACCTTGTATTGTTTATTTCTGGATGGTGACAAAGACTGCTGTAAATTTGAATGATAAATATATTTATATATCTAAAAAACTACAAGTTTTTGTTAGTGTCCCCGACTTTATCTGGACAGCTGCTGCACAATTCCCTGACACACTATCACCTAGAAAACTGGATCATTCATAGGTTTCATTTTTAGGAATACTTCATTGATTTTAGGAATATTTCATTGATTTGATTTTTAGAAATATTTAAGGATATTTAATTGATTTGACATTTAGGAATATTTCATTGATTTAACTTTTGTGTTGGCTCCTGAAAGCCAAGTTGACAAAATGTATGAGATGTAGAAAGAACTATTACTAAGTGATTCCTTAAAGTGTGAAAAAAATGTTTGGGCTTACCATGAGAATGTGTTTATTTGGGATAACAGGAATTTACAACTCAGTTTGCAGCATTTTTTTAAACAAAATCAAAAAGCATAATTTTAATTATTAGTTTTGAAAGCAAAAGTCTAACTAACTTACCGGTAACGGTGACAATTGTTCGGTTACTACGCTCTGAGATTTCACGTCCTGCCTCTGAATTCATCTGGACAGCACATTCAAAATATAAAATATTGTCTCCAGCATCGATGGGGAATTCTAACTCAACAAAATTTTCACGTTGCGAACTTCGTTTCCTCTCATGTACAACTCCATTTGCCAACTGTGCAGTTTTATAAAATGTGAAAAAAAAAGGTGGCTTTTCTTCTGGCACCTCACAGCGTAAAAGTACATTTTCACCTTCCATCACTGCTGTTCTCTGGACACTCAATATTGGCTTCATTATGCCTTCAAAACAGAGAAACAATCATGAATTAAGATATATCTTTGCAAGTGGCAAGCTGGCAGCCACTTTAAACAGCTTGATCTTGGGATTTTCATGTGATAATACATGAAAAATTGCAAGATCAAGCTGCTTTTTCTCAGTTCTGAAAAAGGAGGCCTAGGATCCTGGATCTTTTCTTCCAAAGGATCTTCTAAAGTTCTTTTTTTCTTGATGTTTTTTGTTATAACAAATTATAAGTTATGACAAGTTGTAACAAACTGGAGAACCATGTTAGTTAAGGCACATGGCTAGAAAAAAAGGGACTGTGAGTTCTAGTGCCATTTTTGGACATAAAAATCCAGATGGATGACTTTGGGGCAGTCACTCTCTTTCTTAGCCCAGCTAACCTCACAGGATTCTTGTAGTGGGGAAAATAGAAGGAAGAAACATTAGGTATGTTCACTGCCTTGAGTTATTTATAAAAATAATAAAGGCAAGATTTAAAAAACAGCCCAAAGAGGCAAATAGCAACTGACAAAGAGAGATCTTTTTGATAAAGTGAAAAAAGTACCACTTTATCTGGGAAATGGATCATCTAAAGAAAGCCATCTTGTATGTCATGGCTTCTTTATGGATTAGAGTCAAATGCCACTGGAGTGTTGCAAAGCCTCTTTGGATTTCTTCTTTGTAGCGCAGAGTTGGGAAAGGCTGTTTTGTTGCTTTGGAACTTTATAACACTAAATGGTAGAATAAAAGGATTTGCAGGTTGAAAGCAGCATAGAAATCTGCAGTCCAGACAAATAGACAGATAGAATTTTATACAAGAGAAGCTTTATCCACAGAAAAACACCAGAAGATGTGACTATGAAAAGCATGGCACATAAGTGATAAGGGTGCTTTTCAGGAAAAAGGCTAAAATATGTTAAGTAAAGAAAATGAAAAATAATACAAGAAAAAGATTTTCTGGAATCAAGCAGAAAGAAAAGAAAAGAAAAAGATAAGAAAATGAATAAAGAAGGAAAAATTAGAAAAAAGAACTGTGGTAAAACTAAAAGGAAAAATTGTGTTTAATCTTTCTTATCCATAAAGGACAAGGCTGGATGGAATCACTGAAGCAGTAGGTGTGAACTTAAATGGACTCCAGAAGATGGTAGAGGACAGGAAGACCTGAAGGAACATTGTCCATGGGGTCGCGATGGGTCGGACGCGACTTCACAATTAACAACAACAACAACAACAACAACAACAACAACAACAACAACAACAACAACAAGTTGTTCCTTCAAAGAATGAAGAGACACCTACCTTCAACTTTAATGGTCAAAGGATTACTAGATTTTTTTTTCTCCTCAACACTTAATGAACATTCATAGACTCCTGAAGAAGAAAATCTAGCCTGTGAGATCGTATAATGGGCGCTGTCTTGTTCAATTGTGTTAGTGAACAGGAGTTCATCATCCTTGAAAAATGAAAACGTGTAATTCAGTCGGAAATGTTCATTCTTGCTAATATCCACAGAACAGTTGAGGATGAGTGGGTTTCCATTGCGCACTTTATTTTGTGGAAAAGCCTGGAGTGAAACTTTATTGATAGTGAACACTGGAAAAGAGGAAAAATGTTCATGATATTAGTTTCAGGAATCATCCCAATCTGTTTTTTCCCCCAAAACTATTACACTGGATCCATTCATCCAATGCATTTGAACAGGATGTTAGCCACCAAAGAAATCTGCTTGGATTAATAGAATATACCTGATTTGATTAATCAAAAAATTACATGATTGTATGTTTTGATTTGCATTTATTTGATATGTCCTTAAACTAGGTAAAGGTGATGGACTTGTAGTCCAAAACATACTAGATTGCAAAAAACTGTACTAGGTCATTGTGTAATTGTATAACGTATTACTTATCTTTCACTTGATGGTTCTAAATATCCAGCATTATTTTTTCATAGAAGGATTGTTTCAGTTGATGGAACAACTTCCTTGAGAGCATAACTTAGGGGTTAATATAAGAGAAAACCTGAGCAATCCAAAGGGGCTGTCCTTCAACAATAGAAATGATAGTGAACCAACTGTAAATGAAATAGGAAATTGATGTGGTATGGAAAGTGATGGATGCTACACTCTTTGACTGATGTATTCCATTGTATTTGAATTTGTTAATTAGAGATATGTCATAAGCTTTTCTCCTCACCCTACTCCTTTCTTCTGCTGCTGCAGCATTTTAGGATCTCCTCCAAATCTGGCCCAGGTGGTTTAGGGCAGTGGTGGCGAACCTATGGCACGCGTGCCAGAGGCGGCACTCAGAGCCCTCTCTGTGGGCACACGCACCATGCCCCAGAGATGGCAACCATCCCTCTTCAACCAGCCACCTGCTAACTCACCAAGGTCCCACATGGCCAGATGCATCCCAGCACCCATGCACTCATTGGCCCCTGTGTGTCAGGCAGCAGCCGCCCCAGCCCCTGCCTCACCTTGCCCTGTGACAATGGCACCCCTGCCTTGCCTTGCCTCACCCAGCAGAACGAGCCTCCTGCCCACCGCCTGACCTGCCAGAGACCCCCTGGATCTCCCCCAACCCTGCCCGGCTCCCACAGGTGCCCCTCCCCACGAGCAACATCGATGTGATCACACCTACCTTGGCCACACCCACCCAATCTGCCATGACCACCACAGCCACACCCACCCAGTGGGCCATGCCCACCTGGAACCCGGCGATAAATAAATGGGTTTTGGGTTGCAGTTTGGGCACTCAGTCTCTAAAAGGTTTGCCATCACTGGTCTAGGCAGACTGCATGGGAAAAGTCTTATTCCCCCAATCATCCCTCTTCTTCATGTTATTTATTTTTCATTTATTTCTTAACTTTAGTTTATATGGTTACCCACTCACACCTGACACAAACAATAAAATAACTTGTGATCAAACAACAATGAACACTTTGATAGCAATTAAAAAGAGCTCATTTGGTCTATGGTAGTGGTTAAGGCACTAGGCTAGAAATGGGGGAGACAGTGACTTCTAGCTCTGCATTAGGCATAAAGACAATAGGGTGATCTTGAGCCAGACACACATACTCAACCCTCGAAAGAAGGCAATGACAAATCACTTCTAAAACCTTGCCAAGAAAATTACAGGAAACAACCCAGGCAGCCACTCATTCATATTGAACACTAACTCAAATCTTTCTCCCCCCCTCCCCCCCTCTCTCTCACACACACACAATCATCTAGTGCGCTCACAGAACATCAAGAGGCTCATCCCACAACCTGGCCCAATGCGCTGCTTCCACTGAAGGAAGCAGCTCCATTACCAGAACAGCTTGACTGGATTCCATCCAGAATAAAAAAGAAAATAACAAAAATTTGAATGATTTCATTTGCATTTCTTAATATTATACTAAATTAACCTCTGCACCAAATGCTAAAAAAGCAGACCAACTGCTGGTAAACACGCCAATGACAAGTACAGAATAGTAAATGACAGCCAACCAGTTTGGTCTAGTAGTTCAGGCACCAGGCTAGAAATCAGGCCTATGTGAGTTCTAGTTCCACCTGATCCATGAAAACCAGCTGGGTAACTTTGGGCCAGTAATGCTCTCTCTCTGCTCAACCCATTTCACCAGTTTGTTTTTGTGGTGAAAACAAGAAGAGGAAGGCGTATTCACTTTCTTGAGTTATTTACAAAAATAATACATGCAGGATTCAAATAAATAAATGAAATAAATAAACCCATTCATGGGTAGGAGTCCTGAGATATAGGTTTACTGAGAGAAAATGCTTGAAGACCTGACACTGGATCTATCAGATGGTACTTCTCTTCTGAGCCTTGGTAACCAGTTTCAAGGGTTGATTCTAACTAGTTTATCCATGATCTTGTGCCTCATGTCACTGTTATGCTGTTTAATGGAAGGGGTGGTAGTTACGTTCCAGCTTCAGGGATTGGCTGCACATTCAGTTGTTCTTTTGAGTCTTCTTGAGCATGCGATGTAAAGTTTAGTTGGTCTTCTCAAGTTGGGAAAGCAACTTCCTTTCACTATGTTGAAGTGTTGAGTAACTAGCTGATCCTAAGTTAGTGTGAATGCACGTCTTCTGTCCATCCATAGTTCCCCCATAAACTTTATATATCCCTTCTCATTAGGTCTGCTGCTGTAGCAGCATTCCATCAATGCCAGATTCTCTTATTTTGTCCATGTAAAGGTTTCCCCTGTCCATATGTGGACGGGCTTCCCCTGTCTAGTCATATCTGACTCTAGGGGATGGTGCTCATCCCTATTTCTCAGCCAAGAGAGCCAGCGTTGTCCAAAGACATTTCCGTGGTCATATGGCCAACGTGACTGTTTGCTGAGGCACACGGAATGCTGTTGCCGTCCCACCAAAGTGGTACCGATTGATCTACTTGCATTTCAAACTGCTTTCAAACTGCTAGGTGAGCAGGAGCTGGCGCAAGAATGGGAGCTCATCCCATTGCGCAGCCCTTAGATCTTGAACTCAGTTCTCCAACTGACAAGTTCAGCATCTTTAACTACTAAAATTATTATTTATAAACTTGGTTGGATTAAACAAAACATACATTTTGTTAATAAATGAATAAATAATAAAGCATCTTGCATCTCATTCCCTAACCATTGGTTCACCAAAGCCTCGCCATGGTCACTGCCAATCAACCAGCCACATCAGAACCAGCTCTCTGCTTTAGCCCTGCCTCTCATTTCCTGAACTTTGCAGATGCTTTGTGGCAATGGATCAATATCTATAAACTGAACTTGTAGCGTGCAGGTGATAATACAAGCAGCAACAGGACTCCTAAAACTGACAATGGTCACAGTTATTAACTGTGAGTCCAAATGAAACAGATTTTGCACAAGTGACCCCAAAAGAAAATGCAAACAGCAAATGCAGTTATTAAGATTTAGTGAACTTGGGGATCCGTTATCCCTAAGATGATTTCTCCTGAGGAACATTATTGAGTAGCAGAAATTGGTGCTAAGAGTTGCTGTTATTGGGTACATAATATTATTCAATACTTTCGTATTGGACACTTGATGCAAAATTTGGCTGAGAAGGGTCAGGGGATGCAATGGAACAGGAAGGAATCTACAAATACAACTACCCTATCACCAAACAGTGAATTACTTTGCCCTTAAATAGGAAAATGAAGGAAGGGGGCTTTGTTTAATTGAGAAGTCCCCACATGTTAGGGTTAGGGGTTAGGGTTAGGGTTGGGGTTAAATATATATATTTATTTAGTGATCCATGATTGCAGAAAGTTCAAGAAACACTGTCCTAACTGATTCTGCTTATAATTCTTATCCCCCCCCCCCCAGCTTTCAATCCAGCTGAAGTCTCCCACTCCCTATCCGAATCTCTCTCTCTTCCATACAAAATCCCTCCGGAATACGGCTACAAGTATTAATTTTGTTATTTTGTTCATGGGAAGAATGTAGGTTGATGAATTAGTTATAGGTCATTTCCACACTTGTGACTCATAGCAGCACCAACTATTGTGAAGTGATATACAGCCTGTCCTCGCCACTATTATTTTGTCTTCATTACTATTATTTTGGCACAATAATGATTGGGTGATTTTAGAACATATTATAAATTACTGGTGTGGAAATTACTTCAGTTTCTTTCTAAGGGAAACTTTCCAAGTGTGTGCTATCAAGTTTCTTTTTTTAAATCATTTTTCGAGCAACCTGTCTCTTCATAATCTGAGCAACCTACTGAGGGCAGAGCAGAGGAAACCTAACTGTTGGTGCTGATATGGATTTTTACAGCTAATCTTTCAAAGCAGTGGACTGAGGTGGGGGGGGGCAGGGAAAAGAAAGTTTGTCCTTCTGGAAGAGCCAGTTGTGGAACATCAGGAGAAACACCAAGTTTTTAGATGTCATTAATAGTAGCTACTATTGAGAAAAGACATTACAGACTTTCGGACCTTTGAAAACTGCCATAGATAGATCGCTTTCCTGAGGGGGGGGGGGACTGTGGAAAGCTTTCCTTAGTCAGAAGAACATTTAAGAATGAATTAGGCATGATTTAGGAGTTGAATCAGGTACATTTGAGGTTAATTCAGGCTACCATGACAGTTTGTTTAGATTAAAGAGGCGTAACCCAGAAATAGGCTTCACTCAGGTTGAGTTTTTGCCCCATATGATTGACAGTATCTCTGTGGTTCATTAACAGTTGAGTTGGGTTGATATTGGATACTGTTGGCAAAGCAACGTAATGACAAAGGCCTTGGAGTGGGGTCTGGATTTGCCAGAGAAAGACAAAATTGTGCTGTCTGTTGTTTTACAGATGATACTGCTTCCGCTAGATAATTATAGGCTCTGAAGGTGGTATCTAGAGCCAGTCTAAAAGGCTACACTTTACATGTTCTTTATGTAAAGTGGATTGACATCTCCCCTACTGAGTGGCTATTCCATTGGAATGGCAACTAATGATGCTCCATTCCTGATAAAAGACAAAACAGACAACAGGTAGTTTTGCCAGTCCTGACTGAAACAAAAAATAACATTTTTAGCACACGAAATCTCATGTTTTAAATTGACCAAAAACAAGGTCGGCGGCTTCCATCCAGGGATATGACATTTGC